GGGGGGGTGGGGGGGTGTCTACACCCATATACAAGTATACACAAAGTACCTAATGCCATGCCCAAGAAACTGGAAGTGGTACTGACACAGAAGTCCCAAGTGAATATTATCTTGAGAATGAAGGTAATTAAAAAGCACACTTTGTTCCAATTAAAAAGGGGCACCAGTGTATTTTAAGTAGGGAACTTTCTCGCAATTTTTAAAGTAGCATTAGGTTAATTTTGTATTAAAAATTCTTAGGATACTGTATTTTGGTACCATAGCTGCTCAGTTATAAGAAGTCTTAAACTGCTGAGGACAAGACGTATAGCATTATGGAAAAGCCAGCTTTTCAACTACGTGTACTTACTATTTCAGAAAATAACTTTCCAAGGAATCTACTTTTCCTCTGTCCCCTCTTGCACTCATAATCGTCAACGTACAGCAAAACAGAAGGGAAAAAGGTTTTAGCAGGCTCTAATGAAAATACTGTATACTGCCCTCACCACCACCAAAACCACACTTCAGCAATCAAACATATATAACATTGTGTTATGCACAAGTGTCTTGGAGAACAGCTTGTGAATATTTTTTTTAAAATTCTTTTTAATTTCTATTTAAATTTTAAAAGACATTTTAAGGCCCAAGGTTCTTCCATTTTGAAGTCTATCAATATATCTCTCACAGCTCTTGGGAGATGTTATAGATCACAAAGGCCTAGCATGGTTAATATCAAGTGCACGCCTGCTCCTGCAAATCTGACAACATTGGACACAGAATGTACATCCCTGCTCTGTAGGTACACAGCCTCTGTACCTACTGGCCTACCTAAAAACTTTTAGAAGACAGTTCATGACATAAATTATTAATCAACTATGTAACACAATTTAGTCTGTATACACTCCGGTTTTGATTCATGAATTATGAATTTTTTTCAACCCTTCCAGACACTGTTTTCTTTAGTGCCCTTAACTATATGCTATTCATTATTTCAGACACCTCAGGGCTTCTCTTTTCCTGCATAATAACCAAAAGCCGAAGCAATCCAATATAACAGAGTAATATAAAACAAGACCAAAAAATTTTACAAAAATAAGGCAAGTCTCACGATTTCCTTTTCCAAAATGTCATCTGACCAGTTCATCTCCTCTTCATACAAAACTACTACAATTTCCACTACCTTGTAGAGACCCAGCCTGCCTGAAATCGCAGGTAGTTTTTTTTCTTGCACCTCGAGACACTCCCTCCCAATCCCTCTTCCCAATCATCAGGAAAGGAAATCCCAGTGGATTTATATAATCATGGAATCAGCCATCCTCTTCGTGGCTACCTCTGCAGTGAACCACCAGACCTTAATGCTCAGTGTTTCTGATGCTATCATATATGTTCTCTTGCGCATAATATGATCACCAATTGAGTCACTGCTAGTAGGCAATCCAGGTCTTCTCCAAATTCAATGCATATTATGTGACAGATGCAGATACAAAGAGCATATGTAAACACAAACAATATTATTATGCCCATCAAATTATAGTGACCTGTTTCTAATCCAATACAAAAACTTGAGCCTTGGCTAGTGCTGTTTGATTACTGCTTCATCACTGTCATTAAATATTTCTCCTGCCTATCTATGCCAGAATATTAAACATCAACACAGGAGGTGTTTTCTTCTAGCCACCAAAGATTTTCTTTCCAACAACTTTATAATGTAAAATTAAGAAGGAACAGTGTCCTACAGAAAATATAGAACAACCACATAAAAATCATATTAGCAAGCAACCACTACCATGACTATAGCATTCATTTCTAAATGCAACAAAGAACTTCAATTCTAAAAAGTGAATAACCTGTACTCTAGCCAACTGGAGTTCTCCATATTCTAGAGAATCAAGATCCAAGTTAGCATGGAATATCGGAGACTATACTGCTATGACACTCCAGTCTTGCAAAGAAAGACAAGCTGAGGAACAAATTTCAGAGAAAAAAACAACTGATAAAACCCCAAATTTCATTCTAGAATGAAAACTAGAAATGTCTGATCAATAGCAAAAACCCGCGTTTGGACCACTCACTCTGTACTATATAAATCAGAGAACATCCCAGCTTTCACATGTCTTATAATTATACGTAGGCATTAAGTAAGACAGACGGGTTTCTTGTGTACATTGAGACCATCAACAAATTATAAAGCAAAATAGGATGCTTATCTCCCCCATCCTTTGAGCTTGAAAGTACAGAAAGCAGGACGGAAAGCAAAAGCTAGGGGAACTATAAAGGAAATTCCTGAAAATTCAAGCTATACTAAAAACAATTTATCAAATGCCACTGCTAGAAAAAGAAAATGCAGCAATAATTTAAATAAACTGGTATAAGCAACAATAGCAAAAATTATTGATATGTGGTAATCTATTGTAATAAAAGAAAGTTAAGCTGCAAACTAGCTAGTGAAACAACCTTTTCCGTTATATATAGTTAAACAAAAATACAGAGAAAAAGAATCATTCTTTAAATACAAATCAAAACCAAACACCTGCATTAAAAAATCATGGACCACTTCCAAACTGGACTTTACCTTATTTTTCATTTTTAAAACCAAGCAAATAACTTATCTTGCTGACACTGCCAAACACTACAGAGGTGTGAAGATGGTGATACAGAAATACTGCTCAAAGCTGTATACTGCACACTCTTGCAGTGTACCTGAAGTGGTGCTCGGTGACAAAATCCTTCTCTTTTCTCTGTTTGCTAGCTCTGTATCCTCAATGCCAGTATCAGTAGTCAGTCAATGGCCAGAGCCTTCCTTGACATAGGACACCTGAACCTACAGAATGATAAACTATGGTATGAACTCTAAAACATAGCAGCTGTCCCACACTAGCTTTCTCAGATACCAAACTGAACATGCCTTTCTGCAGCCTGCCATAGTTTGAGCACAGTAAAGCTAACTGAGATAAAGCAGAAGTACAGGTTTCAAAATAAAGATGGCAGAAACCACAGAATCTAACAAAATAAAGAAAAA